ACAATCTGGGGGCGATCTTGTAATAACGACACTATTACACAATCTGGGGGCGATCTTCCGAGAACTACAATATTACACAATCTGGGGGCGATCTTCCGAGAACGACAATATTACACAATCTGGGGGCGATCTTGTAATAACGACACTATTACACAATCTGGGGGCGATATTGTAATAACGACAATATTACACAATCTGGGGGCGATCTTGTAATAACGACAATATTACACAATCTGGGGGCGATCTTCCGAGAACGACAATATTACACAATCTGGTGGCGATCTTGTAATAACGACAATATTACACAATCTTGGAAGATTAGAAGTGATTCGTGCAGTAAATTAATCATACGCGACTTGCATATGTCAACATAGTGACGTGTCGTCGTTACACATGAGCAGCTGAAGAAAGTCATATGCTACCAGTAAGAAACAAAACCTATTCATAAATCTATGTTATTGATTACCAGTAATGAAAAGTAATTCATGTTTACGTTGGTATCAATCAATTCCTGATAGGAATAATTACAACCTAAATAAAGTTGATGGACGGAAAGCATCAGTCTAAAGTGGAATAAATAACATATACAAAATGATTTTTTTTTCTCTTCACTCGACGATTTTATTCCTTGTGACACAAATAAGGACATGATATAAGTCCTCTTTCTTTATCAGTGGTTACTTTACTCGCGGGGCTTATACACCTATGTAATGACTACTAGTCACTGAATACTCGGCTAGCAGAGAGAACTTGAAATATGTCCAAGGTAAAATTAAGCTTTTATCTTTCATATATATATAGTTGGTTCCTCATGGAAATTTTCTTGCTAACTGTTGGAACCTTTTCTTGTCACTTTTAGTAAAATAACACGAAGACGTAACAAAAATGGACTTAGCTGAGTGTTCGACGTTTCAGATTTTCTGGTGTTTTTATCATGGTACCTAAATTCCTAAAGACAAATGAATTAAATGGGGGGAAAAAATGTTATGTGAATGTTCATGTGTGAGTTTGTTTGTAAAGACGTAAATTTGTTTGTAAAGACGTAAATGGACAAGTGTGTTCGAAGGAGGAGTGAAAGTCGACTGTGGTCGATTAAATCGATGCATCAGCAAAAAAAAAAAAAAAACCGAGAAAAAAAGGGAGGTTGGATGATGTCTTGTACATCAGTTCATTGATTTGTTTAAATATTTCTATAAAAGAAATTATCACCTCGTGTTTAACTGAGGTATCCATGGAGCTCCTTGAAAAATAATACATCATATAGGTTTCCAGACAGTAAGTATAGGCAGTTAAAGTATTTTTGAATAATATGTTAAATGTAGTTGTTTGGTGTATTTTCTTTATTCAAACAGCCTCGTTTCCATAATTGAAGTATTAGGACTAAGTAATTGAAGTATTAGGTCTAAGTAATTGAAGTATTAGGTCTAAGTAATTGAAGTATTAGGTCTAAGTAATCGAAGTATTAGGTCTAAGTAATTGAAGTATTAGGTCTAAGTAATCGAAGTATTAGATCTAAGTAATCGAAGTATTAGGTCTAAGTAATTGAAGTATTAGGTCTAAGTAATCGAAGTATTAGATCTAAGTAATCGAAGTATTAGATCTAAATAATTGAAGTATTAGATCTAAGTAATCGAAGTATTAGATCTAAGTAATCGAAGTATTAGATCTAAGTAATCGAAGTATTAGGTCTAAGTAATCGAAGTATTAGGTCTAAGTAATCGAAGTATTAGATCTAAGTAATCGAAGTATTAGGTCTAAGTAATTGAAGTATTAGGTCTAAGTAATTGAAGTATTAGGTCTAAGTAATTGAAGTAGTAGGTCTAAGTAATTGAAGTATTAGGTCTAAGTAATTGAAGTATTAGGTCTAA